TAAAAAAAACCCCTTTGCAACGTTTGGTCCTCACAGAAAAACCAGCTGGCAGACACCCACATTTAATTTGCATGCCCAATTACCCAGCTCATCGGCTTTCTTGTGTGTTGGTTCATCCTCACAGGAGGGATGTCCACACTTCTCCATGCAACTCCACTTGGCCTTGGGGACACACTGAGTGCTGGCTCATAAGGACATTCTGCTGTGAGTGAACTTTACCTTGCCCAACATGATGAGCAAACCCTGCAGGCACAAGTATGTGATGAGCCCAGGCAGGTCTCCAGCCACCTTTTGGCTCTCCCCAGAGCACGCAGCATCTTGCCGCATTTTTTTAGGCACTGCTGTGGTGTTCTTGCACAAATCCATCCAAAGGTAAGAACCTGTGATCTGACCCACCTGTAATTAAAACTTAATTTGATTTGCATGCTGACTGATCTTCGGTGAGCAATGAGTGTAGTCTGTGCAGACCTCGTACCTCTAAGATAGGCCATTTATTTGTTGATGCTTTTTATGGCCCAACACATTTTGTTCTTAAACTTTCAGGATTTGAAACAAAAAGAAGCAAAACATTATTTTATGTGGGTTTGGTATTTTGTAGTCAGGTGTACTTAGTTAGAAGTTGTATTAAACAGAACATGCAACTTCATCTGAGCTGCTTGATTAGGATCCAAATTTTTTACTTGTTGGCTTGTCAGAAGTGCTCTTCTTTGTTCTCACAGTCGGGTCCTGTGACTGGTGCTCGAGGGATAAAGAAAAGTGACTAGTCTAGGCTCTTATTTGAGTAGCTTTAGCACTATTCACACTTGAAACTAGAACCTGTCCCTTGCCTTGCTGTAACAGGGTTGCTGGCATCACTCGAGTATATGCTTTAACTGTATGCTTGGAGATGAGTTAGTATTTAAGTACTGAAGCCCATGCCTGATATACTGTGTAAATTATGGAGAGTTTGGTTTCTTGGCCACATTTAAACCCTGGAGAAGCATGTTGTTTAGGCTTAAGAATTGCTTCCTTTGGCTTTGTTTCATCAGGATGGAAAAGCTGATTTTGCTTCTTCAAAGTCCATTCAGTTCTGTTTTTTAAAAAGTAATCATCCTGCTTTGAAAAGCTGGAAAGAAATACCCTTGTTTTCCCATCAGCATGGGCCGATTTGTATATGTGATATTTTACTCCTGATGAAAGTAAGTTTGCTTTTACTTTACTAGAGGTTTTTATCCAGCAGAGAGTTCCAGCTGTGCAAGAACCGATGCACATTAGCTGTTCCATTGATCTTATTTGACCAGTTCTTAAGCTTCTTTGCAGAGTTAGATCTTGCTTTCCTGCTTTCAGACAGACAGCTGTACTGTCAGCTTTCGAGGAGAAAAACTTGCTGTTTCTTTCATGCTCAGTGGAACGTAGACTCCAGAAGACAAATTCTTAACAGCAATTTGGCTTTTGCAGCTGCCTCCTAATACACTTGTAGTTAAACATAGAGAGAGGCTGAGGTAGTTCACAGCAGCCACGTGTTTGATGAAGTTCCATGTACTTTGCCATCGCTGTCAAGGCTGTGGGAAAACTCCTTGTGTGGCAGGAGAATGGAGCTATGCAGCTGAAAAGATCAAACTTCTTATCTGGGCCTTTTTTTAATCTCCCTCTTGCTTTCAAAGATTTGACTGTTTCTTGCTATGACTCAGATTTGCACATTCCATGTCATTTGTGGAATGGCCACAGCTGAAAGCCTGGTTTAATGTCGTGTTTGCCAGGGTAACTACAGCTAAAACTGTGGGAGTTTAGTAGGGCACAGCCTGGAGGGAGCTGCAGGAGCAATGGATGGGGAGCAGCTACCCAAATGTTTTTTACCACAGTTAACTGTCTCTGGGTGAGGTCTTCTGTTTCCTTACTGTAAGAGTTCTCATGGCTCCTTGCTTGATGCCTTCTACTGTCAGTATGTTCAGTTCACACCCATTGCCTTCCTGCCCTCACCAACTAGGGTATTCCATGACCCCAGAGATCAGCTTTTATTCCTATTTTCCTTTCTGACACCCAAAAAAAGCTGTCATTAGGCTCCAGGAACACATTCTTTGCCCAGCACAAGGGGAGAAAGGCATTGTAGCATTAAAACTAACTATAAAATACAACAAGAAGGAACTTTTTCTCTACTTGGTCCAGTTCACCATTTCCTTTCCTCACTGCTTCCTAGATACTGGATGTCCAATAGGAGTGTACATCCCTTTGCATGCACTTTCTGCACTAACCTGATGCTAGGTTTGCATTTCTGTGTGAAGGCTCTACTGAATTCAGATGTTGCAGCTTTCTGTAGGACTTGCCTCTACTTTCCGTCTGTGTTGTGTAAGCCCTTGAAGACAAGTCTGGCCCATGATACTGTTCTGCTCTACCTTGGTGTTCAGGGAAGCTGACCTTTTTGTGTTGAAGGGTTAAGTCATTCTCTTAAGTGGATTTTGCTGATTGGATTGTCCTTCATGTTAATGCTTTGTTCCAGTGTAATCACATGAGTGATGTTAAAATCTGCCTGACACTGGAGGCCATAAGCTCTTGCTGCAGCTGGTGTGGCCAAGCCAGTTTCTGTAGCCACTGGCTGATGGGTGTGTTAGCTAGTAGGTGTGGCAGACAAGAAGGCACCTTCCGATGTGAGCAAGAGAAGATGGCATTCACACTTCTGGAGATGTAGCAAGACATCTGCTCTATGCTGCCACAGTATTTTCTGTACTACATACCTCGCTAGTGCCATTATGCTTGCCTTTGCAAAAGGAATTCAGTTTCTGAGAGTAAAACGCCCTTGTGCATTCATCTAGAAGTTCAATAAATATTTCATTTTCTTGTTTGTCTTTTTCAGGAACCTGTTTCCTTCAAATCTTGTGACTGCAGCTTTCCGAACGGTAAGATATATGTGGCCTTTGGACAAGAGCTACAGTGCACAGGCAGACAAGTGACTGTTCTTTATTTGAAAGAGGACTAGAAAGGGGGTGTAGAAATTACCAGAAGTCAATTTACTTATAGCAGGTGGGATTTTTAAAAGCACATCATGTAATCAGACATACAACTCCTGTGGTAAATGGTTTGATTTTGAAAAATACTCCTCAAACAAAAGCATATTCAAAACCTGTCTTTTGTACCTCCACCAAAAGTAATTTTTAAAGTTTAAGCTTTGGGTTATATGTTGGGCAGCTGTGGCAGCTCTGCTTGGTGCTAGGTTGCTTACCACTTTGCAGGAGCTAGCTGGAAAATATTACATACATAGTTTAGAGCTGGGCTCAGAAAAGACAAGGTTCCTAGGCTCCCATGTGTGTAAGCATTACCTGTTGTTTTTATTCAGTATTTTCCATTATATCCCTTGCTGGATTAATTACTCAGCCTGGCTTCTCTTCCAACAGAGGCTATATGTGGTAGGATGGTAACTAGCACCAGAACATAGTGTGGCTTAAACTGATGGACAGGAGCTGTAGGGCTCCAAAAAGATTTGATTTAACTCTCATTGCTAGTTTTAGATGTCAGGATAGACAGTGTTTAGAATATTGCTATGGGGCAGAGTGATTCTCTGTGATACAGGAGCACAGTAATAGCTTTTGCCTTCATTGGGTTTGCTTTTATCTCAAAAACAAGGTTAAACTCTTAAAGTCTATTTCCATTTTGAGTGAATACATAATACAGTGCAAGTCAATATTCCCTGAGTAAAAACAGAAGCAGTACAAAAATAACACTAAGAAAAGGATATTCTGTGATGCCTCGAGTGTCAGTGTTCTGTGTGTTCAGGGATGAAATAAAGCAGTCCTCTATTCCTCTATGCTGCTCTTGTCACAGGGAATTGGAAGGCTTTTCTTTCCCTTGTTTTATATTTGAAGAAAGCAAGCCCAACGAAGTGCCCTGCTTTTGCAAGGTGTCTGGCATATTTATCAAAGAAATTTGTTGCCCTAGATTTTAGATATTTTACTGACAATTTTAATGCTTGCCTTACCATTTTTCTGGGTTTAGTTGTGGTTTTTTTCTTACCTGCAGTATGCAACAGAATATAAGATGCTGCTCAGAAACACTACCTCTGGAAATGTCACGTGGGAAAAGGTAAGGTCACTTCCTAGGTTTTTAAACGAATATTTGTCAGCTTTAATATCTGACTACTTTGCAGTCTTCAATCCTTTCCAGCAGTCATTGAAAAGAAACAAGTACTTTTCTTTGCCTGGCACTGAGACACACACAAACCAGATGAGTTACCCACAGCCACAACAGAGAGCTATGCTGGAGACGAGAGTTGGGCTCAGCTGATCTGATGCTGAAGTTTTGCTTGAAGCAGTAACAAGTGGTTTGAAGGAGTATAAATTAAAGACAGACCATTACAAATGGGCTGCAGTTGCAATAGTGTCAAAAAGAAAACTAATTTGTAGGTGTAGATGAGGCAGATCTTCCATATGTAGCTCGTAGGACTTCCCGAGATGTTCTGTATCCTATGGAGTGACATCTCTGCTGCAGCACAGGGCTATCAAACATATTTGTTACTGGCCATAGCCAAGACATTACAGGGCCATCAGTAATTACTGTTGTCTTACAAACAGCATGCTATGAAACCGACTGCAAGGTGTTGCCTTGCTCCAAATAAGGAGCTCCAAATGTGCTTTGGGCTTTTTTTTCAAATTACTTTCAGGGTTTTTTTCTTTTCCTCAGGCTCATTCTGACTGAGATCAGTATCAGATGTTGGGTTACTAGGTTTTTAATATGATTTGAATGCCCTTAGGGCAAGAGACTTGTAATGTTTGCATTTAACATGGAAGGGCTCAGCTGGGGCTTGCCCACCAGTTTGTAAAACCATCAAGGAAAAAGCAGTTTATGCTCATCCAGAGGGACTCTGAAGCATATCCCCAAGCACAGGCAGTACTGCCTTCATTCCCTGCTCCTCACCATGCCTGGCATGTGAGCAGGTGATGCAGAACAGTGTTTACGAGCTCTGCTTTCAGCTGATGCTTTCACCAGCCCTGGAGACAGGCTGACAGGTGACATGGATGATGCATGAGCTGAGCAGAGGAAGAGTTATCCCTTGCCTAGAAGCCTGATGGCACACAGCGAGCGGTTGCAGTGGGGGTGAAGGCAGATCCATTCACTCGCGCTCTGCCCATGCCTGTTAGATTGCATTAGCCCAGATCCTCACTCACCCCATCTGACACGGGTGTGCAGCAATGACTGTGGAAAGGTCACATGATCCCAAAAGAGCACTTTCTCTTTTCATGCCATCATGTCCTGGGGCAGTACATGCCCCTTGCAGCTTCGTGCTCTTAAAAAATAAGTTCAGTGCAAAAAGCTGTAACGATCTGCAGTTAGATTTGTGTGTTTTGAGTGTGGAGTTTTTTTGCATTTAAGCAAGGGTCAATGAAAGGAGAATAAACCTCTTTTATGCATCCTCAGTGTCAAGTTTGATAGGTGCTCCTTAGCAACCAAGCATGGATTAAGGCTAACCATATCCATGGACGGAGTCTTGGCTGTCAAGTATTTCTTTAATGCTTGTTCAGAGTCATCACTCTCCCTTAAGAGATAAGAATGCATCTTTTGCCAATTTAAAATACAAGATTATTTTTCATTTTTCTTCTTTCTTTTTTCCTGCTTATCAGTCTCCTGCTCGATGTAATACCAGAAAAAATATTCTGAATTTGTCACTGCTGCCTGTTTTTGCCAACAGTTATGATGTAAAGGTTATTTCTGCTATTACTTTTCCAAACCATTTCTTCAGTTGTTGGAGTGAAACCAGAGCTGATCTTTGTTAATTCCAGAAGACGCCCTACTGTCTCTAGGGATGAAGGACCAAATTAAAGGAAAGCATCATCTCAGTTTTGTTAGCTCAGTTTCAGGATTGGTCTGACCATAGTATTAATGGACAGATGAGGATGAAGTTTGGAAAGGAAGAGTGTGATCTTGGATATCATAGTGATAGAAGCTTAGTTCCAGGGAAAGAAGATAATGTTCTTAGCTATTTTTTCTCTCATCAGCAGAATACTTGATTGAAGAGGAGAAATGTTTTTATTAAACCTTCCATATGTATAGTGTGGAGCAAAATTTTCCATTGATTAGATTTCCCCCCCCCAACACTGATTAATAGGCCCTGTCTTCTCTTGCTGATTAAATGAATAGTGGGGCACGTAGATGTTTGCTCAGCCACGTCCTTTTTGTTGTTTCACGTGCTCACCTCATGTTTACCCAGCTTTTATGGCTACATCCTCTCAGTTGCTTTGGCAGCAAGGCTTCCTGGGGCACAGACTAACACAATTCCCCATCTGCAGCATAGGGAGTCTGGGGGCGACTCGGTTCCTCTTGTGGCAGCAGTAAAAATACACAAACCAGTGGTTACTCTTCTTCCTCACATCACATGGCTGCATTTTCTTTTCAGCCACCTACTACTGGGACAGTTCAATGTCAGCAGTTGTTTCCTTGATAAGCATTTTGTTTCAAGAGCTAAAAAACAATAGGATCTTCAGAGAAGTTCAAAGACCAGAAGAACTCCATGAATATTCCTAGCAGAACACAGAATTTCAAGCAAACAATAACATGTCCCATAGTTTGTCTAGGAACAAAGTTCTCATTAAAGCTGTTTTTGTTTGGTGTCCACAATGCTCCTTGGTTTGGCAGCCCCTTTGGGATGATGCACTCTTCTGTGAGAGCACAAAAAGACTGCTCAGCATCTGCCAGTTTTAGAGGCTGGGATTGAGAGCATCTTCTGCTGAGGATTCACTGCTGGATTCATTCCATATTGTGCTGCAAGGAGGTGAAATTCCCTGGATGCTGCAGATCATCCCCTTGATTTGCAGGGAGAAATTTCTTGCAGTAAGTTACTACTCTGTGCAAGTGATGCATCTTCTGCCTACATCTGCAGGGATGAGAGTCGGTGGTGAATATTGTGTGTTGTAAAGAAATTCGCTCAAGAGAGAGAAAAGAGAGAGCAAGACCTGAAAGTGGGGACAGGATGACAGTGGATAGCTAAGAAGTTTTTTGGGTAGCTGTGTACAGAGTCCTCCCTCCAGTCACCAAGAAGTCAGGAGTCCCCAGATCACAAGACCTAGGCTTGAAGGGCTAGTAAGTGTGAGCACTTGGAAAACAGCAGGAGCAGTGATCACAATGCTGAGAGCAAGGTGGAGAGAGACATCTCTGAGGGTGAAAGAAAACCATTTATCATCATTCTGGAGAGGTATAGAGTTTGAAGAGAATTGGCCAACTTATGCACAGTAGGGCACTGTGAAGGTTTAGATGAAAGGACCCGCCTGTGTCCTGGCTGTGGCCAGCTGGAGATGCTACTGTCTCTTGCCCTCCTTTAGGTGCCTTTGGCACCCATGGCTCTGAAGAAGGAGTGTCTGATGCTTTTGGGGACTGAATGACCTAGAAGAGCTCTGTACTTTAGTCAGGCAATTGACCTTCCAAATTAAGCCCTAGGAGCTCTGACCCTGGTTCTTCTGTGTGGCTCCCAAGCTCTGTCCTGCTCTGTGATCCCATATTCCCTATACAGCTGCTGGGAAGCTTGAGCAATCCTCTTGCAGATTTGGTGTACTTCTGCCTCGTTCTGAGGCTAGATTTCTGAGAAGCCCAAAAGGTAGCAGGTTGCTGGGCTTCAGACACATAATTAAATTCCCTCCCACTAACATCCAGGTCAGAATGTTTTGAGTTCAGCAACTTGAAATACTGAATTTATGTTCCATAGTAGATTTTGATATAAATTTTTTTTTTTTTTTTTAGGATGAGAACCAAACCAAAAGAGTATTCAGTGATTTTAGGATATTTTTGTCTAACTTTTCTAAGCACGGAAGAGTTTGGGTCTTTCAGACACACAAAACAAAATAGAGCCAAAACTATCCAAACTGAGACGGGTCACTGTGTGGAAAATGGCACATTTCTTCGGACATCTCTGGAGATACACTGCTTTGTGCTTAGTATGTGTCCATCTTTTCAGTTCTTTCAATTGGAAATCAAATCAATAGGAGGGGCAGCTTAGCCTGGAGCAGGCACTTAAAAATTGCAGATCCTGTATCTAATTGTTTTTTAGCTAGCAAATAAAAAAAGTCAACACCTTCACTGTTTGTAAACTTGTTGTTAACAGCAGTTTCCCCTTCCTGCTTTTGTGTATAGTTTATGTTTTATCTTCTTCCCTGCAGTACTTTGTTTCCACCTGCCATTGAGCAACAGTCCAGTTCAGCAGTTTGCTTCCAGAAAAAACATCATCTCAAGTAGGCTGGTTTTATCAGATTTAGCAGATCAGTATCCCAAGTTCTTTAGTCAATATTCATTTCAAGGTTTTAGCTCGGAATATATTTTTCTTTCCTTGCATTGAGCTATTGTCCACTTAAACTAGCCAGAAGGCGAAAACTTGTACACAAACCTCATCTGTTATAGAAGCGCTTCCAAATAAAACAACAGTTTGACATGTTGAGCTTGTACTGCCAAGTTGGGGAGAAAAAAACTCCCAGTTTGTCAAAACAATTATATTTTTATGTAGCCACAAGAACATCCATTCAGTTTGTACTATACTATGTTGCCAAACAGTCTCCAGCTCTCTTTGAGAAACACCGTGAACGACTAGCAGAGCAGACCTGTGAGGAGACTACTCTTTGTCAATAGGTGGATCCTGTTTTTATCCTCTTGCTTTTACCATGCAGTGATGTGATTTCTGAGAAGGATAACAAGTATCTCTTCTGTTCTCTCTGTATCTCCCATAGCTGACATGACAGATGAATGAATAGGTTGCCACAGTTTTCTGCCTTTCTCTGCCCTTCTCCCTTTCTGCTTCATAAAGTTGGTTGTTTTCTCATGGTTTTCACCTTGATATCTCTAAAGTGATACACTAAAATCCTGAGTAAACTGAGGAGGTTTACTTGTTCAGGTCACTGAGAACACACATATCACATTGAAGGGCACAAGGGGAGGTAGTGGCAGGCCCTTTCCTTCTCCCGTGAATCCAGGTCAGCTCATAGCTGGGGAGGTTTGTATCTGAACTGCATCCAGATCTTGTTTGGTTCTCTTTAACAAAATAGATTCTTCCTGCCCAAAATGGGCCCTGCATGTTGATTTCAGATCAATCAGGCAGCAACAAAATGAGGTGACCCTTCTGTTAGATTTTGTGCTGATCTCACATCTAACAAGCCTTCCTTTTTTGTCTCTACAGATCCCTGTTGGTACTGAGATTGAGGGGATGAATATCCTGGGACTGGTGCTGTTTGCTCTGGTTTTAGGAGTGGCGCTGAAGAAGCTTGGCCAGGAGGGGGAAGATCTGATTCGCTTCTTTAATTCGTTCAATGAGGCTACTATGGTCTTGGTTTCCTGGATTATGTGGTAAGTGTGTTACTGCAGATGCATCTGCAGTACAGTATTATGCTTAGTTCAGGAAACTCACCATTTCTCTATCCATCTGGCCTTTTCCTACCAAATTGCTCAGCATAGCTAAAGTGAACATTATGGTATCACATGATGGGCTCATTTCTTCTTGCTTGTGCCCTGTAATTAGACGGTCACTAATAGCTTAGATGTCACTCTGAAAAACTTCAGAGGATTGCTTAGAAATTCTCTCCAGGACTTCTTTTTGATTTTTTAGCAGAATGAAAGCTTTCTTTTTCCTAAGGCTGATTGTTTATTTTGCCTGTTAATGAGCAAATTTCACTTACTTCCTTGGAGTCTAGACATGTTTATGGGGTGAATGTTACTTTGACCAATCTCACAAAGCTTTTGGCACCAAAAAAAGTCTGTATGTTAGGAACTGGAGTGCACTGAACTTTCTTGCTAGGCAAGAAGCCGGCCTTGAAGGAGGCAGGCACCTCTAGAGAGGGATTCAGGCCACCTAAGCTGGGGTAGGACCAGCCTCCTGACCAGGTTTTCTGTCAGGTAGGATGAATCTGGGCCTTAGAGCAGTGTCATGGTGTCCTTGTGCAGCTGGATGGATCTAGACTGCTGGTGTGAAACCAACAGTGCTAATACCTCATGTGCAAAATTAAAAATATTCATAAGGATAGCTAGCAAACAAATGAACGGTGGGACATTTCTCACTGCCTTTCCAAAGCTGCTGAAAAAGCTATAAACATACCTTAGCAGAGGGTTTATTTCTCCATTCTGCATTTTTCATTCCTACTGTTTTCCTCTCTCTAAGAAGTAGAAAGGTTTTAACAAAACACCTGATTTTACACAGGCAGATCTCTGTGTTAGTTGCTGTCATAAGGGATTGAAAATTTCAAAGGCTCAAAGCAGCTTAAGTTTTTTGCTCTTGAGTGTAATTCCTTGGACACTGAATGCTGATAAGAGGCAGCTCTTGTATTCAGCTTATTACAGTGCTAGCACTGCAAGCCAATCAGTTGGTATGTAATCCTTTACTTTGTGGATTATTGGGACCACTGCTGACTCTTAACACTGCAGAGCACCATAAGCCCTTACTTGTTCTCTTTCCTTCCTTAAGGCTCTCATGTCTTCCTGGTATTTATTCAAAATCTGTCAAGCTGCATGTACTTCCCAAAGGACACTTTGAAATGGGTGAAATCATACTACCAAGAGAAAAGGTAGCTTGAGGTTGTATCTAGTCCTGTTCAATGGCCACTCCTCATGTTTAGCAGCAGTTTGGTCTCAACTTTTAGTTCCTTCCTCTCCAGCCTCCCTCTTTGAGGGGAGGAATCCAGTCTCAGCTCTGAATCCAGTGTTCATGTTTGCAGAGCTTGTGCAGGACAGGTGCTCAGCTGGGTCTGGCTAATTGGGGTGCTCAGAAACAGCTCAAAGGCAGTACGTGGCAGAATTGCAGAGGCTAAGTGGGGAATGTTCAACAGGCCCCCGAGAGATTTGGCCAAGGGAGGGCAGAGAGAGTATTCTCACATGGATCTGGGATATATGGAGATGCTCTCTGCATGGAACAGAGAAGCTGCAGAAGCACTGAGGGAGGGGCAGGCTAGTAAGAAGTAAGTGATCTGAGCAACCTTAAGGCTTGCCCACCTTTCCAAACCTTTGCATGCTTAACTAAACCTTCTGAGGTTTGTCCTGACTCCACAATCAGCTTCTCTAAATGTGGGCATTGGATTCTTTATTCCTGGGATGTACAGACAAATCTTTTGTAGTCACATGTGTGCCTGGGGCAGGGTTTTGGGGAGCTGGATGATCTGGTAGTATTTCTTAATCTTAGAAGCAGAAATGGATGGAGAGTGGACAGCATCAGCAGAGGTACTTCAGGCACAGACATCCCAAGCAGACCTTCTGAAGGAACTGACCCTGGGCCTGAAGTAATTCATGCAGTTCTTTTAGAGTTGTTGTGCTGTTGGTGCAAGGGCAGTTCTACCTTTTCAGGGCTGTTCCCAGACCAGAATTGGGACCAGAGGCGTGTCTGTGGCCTGCAGGTGGCCCATTTCCCTGGAGCAGCTCCAAGTGCTCTTGACAAAGGAAACCTCAAACAAAAGCTGATGTGGCATGTTTCTAGATGGGAGGCATGGATGTGTATGTGTGCCTGGCTGTTGGTTTGAGGGAAGCTCTGGAAGCCTGATCATTTAATTTAGTCCTTTGTGAGCAAATAGCAGAGTTAATTGCTATTTTTGGCTTGTGCATCAGCAGCCTTTGGCTGAGCTCTCCGGTATGCGCATAGCTTTTTCCTACACTGGGTATGTCGGCACCCAGTATGACTTTAATGACCTAACTTCATACTTGTGCTGGTAGTTTCTGCATGTGTAAGACCCAACTCTTCCATCCCTTTCTCTGCTTCAGTGACATGATACTGCTCCTTTTTCTTTCTTTCTTTCCATCTGCCATCCCTTCAGCAGCAACTTTAGGTTTAGGTCTTTGTGCGCCTTCCTCCCTCAAGCTCCACACTGGTGTCTTGTCCTAGTAGCTTCTGCCAGCATTTCAGCTTCCCTTTGGCACTCTCCTAGCTGTGTCTTTGAGGGCATAAGTGAACAGATCGTTTTCAGTTTGGCTGCTTGCCATCCACCAAGCAAGAGTGTTAGAGAAGCCTTGAAGTTTGACTCACCTGAGTGCATGGTGAATATGGAGCTACCCTTCAGCAGGTCTTTAGAAGACTGTTAGAAGATAACATTCTTTAGAAGAATGTTATCTCCAGGACAGAAAATGGCATGTTTTCCAAGGCTTTTTCTTTGTACTTATTGACGGGCAGTATTTTGTTTACACAGGTATGTACCTATTGGCATTATGTTCCTTGTTGGGAGCAAGATTGTGGAAATGGAAGATATCGTGCTTTTGGTGACCAGTCTGGGAAAATACATCTTCGCCTCTATTCTGGGCCACTTCATCCATGGAGGAATCATTCTGCCACTTATTTATTTTGCAGCCACACGTCAAAATCCTTATCGTTTTCTCTTAGGACTTATCACGCCACTTGCCACTGCTTTTGCCACTTGCTCCAGGTGGGTTTCTGTATTTCTTTTGGGATTATAGGCCTGGCTATATTTGTCACTGTAAACTGGTTGTATCTAGTTTTAATCTTAGGTGTGAATATTGATCCTGAGATTTCAAAAAGAGACTTCTGAGCGTGGAGAGTCTCACTGCTGTCAGCTGCTTGCCACACAGCACATTGCTGATAATCAGCTGTTGAAAACAGTTCCTCAAAATATTGGGATTGTAGCATGATGCTGAGTTGGAAATATTTGGGGAAAAAAAAGGCAAGAGTAATTGCCTTAAAAAAATCCTGCAGCTATCCTTTCAATTTTAAGTAAAATGAGGGTCAGTAGTGAGGGACTTTGTCCTGAGAAGTTTACATCTGTAAGTTCAGAAGGACCTGGAACAAGTTTAGACTAATTTTGCAAGAGTAAAGGATATAACATGATCAATTTCAGACATCTGGCCTGATCAGCTTTTATTTATCATAACCAAACTATCAAGCATATCATTTACACTTTCCTCCAGGACAAACACATGATCAAATAACATAACTATATAAAATCATTCCAGGTCATCTCCAAAAGCAAATGTATGTCTGTCACAGGAGATGAAGTACTATTCATAAACTCTCTCCTACTATGTATGAATATATAGATATATATATGACTGAAGCATGTAATTTATAATGCAAGAAATAAATCCAACAGTGATTTTCTTTTTTAATTATTTTTCTGTTTATTTGAGAAGGTACCAGTACAACATTAACAGAGATTGATGTTGTATCTGTTGTGCTTATATTATCATAGAATCATAGAATGGTTTGGGTTGGAAGGGACCTTAAAAGATCATCTAGTTCCAACTGCCCCTGCAATACTGGCATCTGTTGGTGTATTTTTGTGGTTTGAGACTTGATCATTCCACAGCCTTGTGACACTGCATACTGTGTTCATGAGTTCTTGCTTCTGGAAGATCAGAGTCCTTGTCAGCTATTTCTGGATGGGAAGCAGATTATTAAATACCACTGCTCAAGACTCAACAAGGAGGGTCCCTCATTGCTGTCATGACAGAGAGGGACTAAAAAGTGGCATTGTTGTCTTGACAGTCCTGTCTGCAGCATGTTAGGAACATGAAAGCCATGACAGTAACTGGTCATTCAGTGCACCCTGATGCTTTGTGTTTGATTTCTCTCTGCGCTCTGTTTCTAGTTCAGCCACTCTCCCATCAATGATCAAGTGTATTGAGCAGAACAACAAAGTCGACAAGAGGATCAGCAGGTTTATCCTTCCTATTGGGGCCACTGTAAACATGGATGGAGCTGCTATTTTTCAGTGCATGGCAACTGTGTTTATTGCTCAGCTGAACAACGTCAACCTCAACCCTGGGCAGATCTTCACAATTCTGTAAGTTGCTTGCTATTGCAACCACAGCCTCCTGGCCCCCAGACACATGCAAGCCTGTGGTCCCTTTGTTAATAACTAGCAGTTTGCATTCCATATCTCTGACCTAAAACTTACAGACTGCTATGAAACATAATTATAGGGTGATTAAAGGATGGAGTCTTTAAACCTTTATAAGATTTGCCAGAATCTCGATTTGATAAAAGGTGGAACCTGGGAGGGTAATTCTGAAACAGATTTTGAGCTGTTTAAAGCTGTTTCTCACATGATTCCTCTCCTTCCTTAAGCATCTCACTCCTCTATCCTCCAGTCACCATTAGGCTGGGTAATGAGCATGCTGCTCTACCCAGAAAGCAGCCCCTGATTCCCTATCTGGATGTCTTAGAAAATCATCCTGCCAGCTCCTCAGTTCCTTATGCATCAATTGCATACTAAAGACTCTGCTCCTGCTTACCTCTGCCCTTCCTACCATCATACTGCTGGCTTTCCTGACCAGACCCATCATTGTTCCCCTCCTAACTGCTTTTCTCCATTATCCCCTCCACCACCTCAGTCCTACCTCCTTTTCTAGGATTTTTTCTACTCCATGTCTGGAATATCATCCCATGTCCCATATCACATAAAGTGTCATTATCTTCATGTTCCTCCTTAAGTGAGGATCATGCAAGGAGTTCAAGCTCCTCACTGTCCTGAGCAGCCATAACCTGTATCCACCAGATGCCTCCTAGGGCTGGTTCCTGGCATTTTTTCACCCTCCCTGGCCAGGTTCTATTTCCTTCCTCATTGCATTTCCCACTATATTGTTGGTCTGTTTAAGGCAGGGCTGGGTTTTGAGGTTTTTTTTGTGGATGGCAAAATTAGCCTTTCAGTACTCCTAGTGAATCAGGTGTTAACACAGGCCTGAGGATTATGCAGTGACAGCCCAAGGAAAGCTCAGCTGCAGACATCAACACATGAAAAGGTGTGTGGTTTCATGTCTGTAGCACGTTCACTGCAGATTTCCAGCTTCTGATTTAGGGTCTGTGTTTGAATGCAAATGAGACACAGAGAAGGGACTGTGCCCTGCATGGCAAGGTTTACTTTTGTACTTCTGGGGTAGGATGTAAGGTACTCAGTGCATTGGAACTGACACATGACTTGGAAATGGGTATATTAGTAAGGCAGAAGGATAAGAGTTGTGCTGGTTGTTTTTTATTCTGAGAAGGCAATCATGGTGTTAAGCCATTGCCCTGGTAACTGCTGTGGATGCCTGCTGAGCAACTGTGCTCTGTACCCATTGCTTTGCATGAGCAGGCAGGAAAGGGTTTGCCTGAGAAGTAAACGATCTGCGTGTCCCATGCTGTTCGTTTACAATTCCCAGAGCGGGGAAATGCGTGGTGTAAGTGCAGCAGAGCAGAGCTGGGAGTTCCTGCTAACCAGGCTTGCAAATTGATTTGCAGCGTGACAGCTACTGCATCCAGTGTGGGTGCAGCAGGGGTTCCTGCTGGAGGAGTCCTCACCATTGCCATCATCCTGGAGGCCATCGGACTGCCCACCAATGACCTCTCCTTGATACTAGCCGTGGACTGGATTGTGTAAGTGCTTCAGGCCACAAAGTATCTGCTGTTGCATAACATACAATCATAGGATCATTAAGGTTGGGAAAGACCTTTAAGATCATCACTAAGCCATGTCCTCAAGTGTCATATCCACACTTTTTTTTAACACTTCCAGGGACGGTGACTCCACCACTTCCCTGGGTAGTCTGTTCCAACACTTTACAGCCCTTTCCATGAAAAGGAATTTCCTAATACCTATTCTAAACCTCTCCTGGCACAGCTTGAGGCTATTTTCTCTTGTTACCTGGGAGAAGAGATTGACATCCACCTCACTACAGGCTCCTTGTAGCATGTTCATCTTGCTTAGTGTTTAACTGCTAGTGGAGTAAGCATGATCTGATAATTTAAAAACATAATCTGCTTTCAAGCCATCTGGTTGATGTTGGGTAGTGGTCTGAAATGACTGGTCAGTATGAGTCAAATGATCTGAATCCCACTTACATGTTTTTTTCTCCAGTTGATGGGTTATTGGACAGTTCCTGGTTTAGACTGTACATAATCCTTCTGCATGGCTTTTTGAAAACACCTGTCTCTCTGTATAGATAGTGTACTCCCACAACAGATGTGGAAATTAGGGTGGCTGAAGAGACTCTTAAGTTCCAGAGTCTGGAGAAGGTGGCAGCTGTATTACATCCTTCCCTTCCTACACAACACTTGTCTGTGGAGCATAATCATATTCCTACAGCTTCATAGGGCCATCAGACTCTTTCTTACTGTAAACTCTTGGGGACCGAAGGACAGGAGAGACAGGCAAAGCAGTGGCTAGCCCTTTGTATCCTGTCTTTCTAAGGAATTACAGTAATAGCTGTGCATTCCACAGCTGTACTTGTAAGTGCTTGAAGGCAAGAGGGAAAAACTTGCCCTTCCGTTCAGTCTGGGCTGCCCTCAGTCTTTTGTTTTGCTTACTGCCTTCATTCAAAATATGTAGCATTCGTCAATGCTGTTCTAGTCAAGGAACTCAGCCTTGTGGTAACAAAAGGGGAAAGGTCTTGTGCCTTGTTTTAATGCCACCTGTTTAATTACCAGAGAGGACCACAATTACAAGTTGAGCCCATGTTAAAGTTAGGCTGCAGAATGACTAGCAAGTCTCAAAAGGCACATGAAGAGATTGTTCTTTGTGACCCATAAACCTCCTCCATTACACCCTAGCACACTGGTGTAGGACCAAAGATCAGGACAAGTGCTACTAGTAGGAAATGCAGAGAACACAGGAATCTCTGCATGCTTTTGGAAGGACCCCTTGAGCAGATGTTTGGATTAAGGTAAGGGTTGCTATAGTAGAGAGAGCTGGGTGCTCTGAGTCACTTTCTGGATAAGGCCAAAATAATTTCCTGCTCTGAACTTGCATTTGAAAAATGCTGACCTGGGGAAGGGGAAGAGGAAGGAGGTGGGCTGTGAAAAGCAGGATGCCTGAGAAAGACTAGTACCATTGCTGCAAGCCACTGAGAGACCAAAGCCAGTTGATGGTAACAATTTGGCTGACCTTAAACCAGTTCCAGTGCACGTTTTTAGTTCTGAAGTAGTGATAATACTTCTGTGGAAAATACATAGGATGACTACCTCTCCCTCATCCAGCCCCACTGATGTTAGTGGATCAGCAGGGGTGAATCAGCTCTCCTTACCATGTTGTAACTCAAACTAAAAGCCTGCTTGCTTTGGTTTTTGTTTCTGATCTTAACCAGGGACCGAACCACCACAGTTGTGAATGTGGAAGGAGATGCCCTAGGAGCTGGCATCCTTAATTACCTGAATGAAAAGGAAAAGAAAGACAAAGAGCAGGAGCTAAAGGAGGTCACCATAGAAGCAGTTGCTAACAGCAAGTCTGAAGCAGAAACGTCACCTTTGGTAACCCACAAAAACCCAGTCTCCAACACAACCAGTACAGCAGATCCTGAATCCAAGGAGTCAGTATTGTGAACTCAAGGCCGTTTGTCAAGACCTGTCCTAGAGGTGGCCTGGGGACTTGTCAACGCACCCAGACGTCTGCATTGCGACTAAAGGCTGGATGGCTCTTCGAAGTGTTCTGTTCCAGTCCTTTTGGAAATACGCTGCCCTGGGGAGGGGGAGGGAGGTGGAGTGGGCAGAGAAAGGGTGTTGATAAAGATCACTCACTTTATAATGGTATTTTGATAATTCATATGTGTACATGTATGTGTGTCGCACATGCACACATGTATACATGTATATGGAAACAGCCATTGAGGCTTCTGGTTTAACAAGACTTCTCTTAGTAAAGGCTCATACGGGTTGGAGATGGGGAGGTCGACAAACCCAGTATGTGCTTATTGTAGGGGAAAATTAGTAAGCTTATTTTGCTGCTGATTGAATGGAGAAGTAGTATAGAAACTCCATAGTGAGTGAAAATGTTGCTTAAATTTATTTTCTGACCTGGAAACATTACAGCCATGATATGAAGCAACATTTTCCTCCCACTTCTCTTCCTCTCCTATTCTCCAATTCCTTAAAAACATCAAATATGTCCTTAAGACTAGCTTTTTCTTTTTCTTTCAATTTCTTTTGGGTTTCATATCCAAATTAATAGCTTATAGGGACTTGTTCCATTCCCCCACTGCATTGCATCTCATAGCAGCTTTTCTGCCTTCTAGTGAGTAACTGCCAAACTTTGGGAACAGACACAGGAGATCTTTGTGCAGATCAAGGACTGGTTTTCTCCTTTCTTCTAACCAAGCTGTTAAGGAAAAAATCCACAGGAAACACGAATTTTGTTAAAGTAATCCCTTTGGGGCTAAAAGAAATGTAGGGTCTGTTCCAGCATAAATATGTCTGAAAGAGGCTTGCCTGTGACAACATCTATAAATTCAGAAGTCAGTTCCCTTCATGAAAACACACATGCTCCTTGGCTAGCACACTACGTCCTGCTCATGTTTATTTAATGGGTCAGTCCAAACAAGTTAAGTCATATCCTTCTTCCAGCAAAATTGAACAGGGAAGTAAAATATCTGAACACACATCATGTGGGAACTGATGACAGGCAAGTCTTGAGTCTTGGCTTGAAAGGG